CCTCGGATTGCGAGTCAAGCGCCCCTAACCACCTGGCCATGTCGGGCCATAATGTAAGCAGTTCTTGATATTAGCATTTCAGTCTGTATGAGTCTCAATGTCGTGAGCAATAGTCAGTGATTGACATACGTTTTGAGTCGACAAAGAAAAAACATTACAACTTTGAGTTATCTTTAAGTACTTAATTTTAACACCAGTGAGTGATACGCTAGTGTTAAAGCTAAGTAGCTATTACAACCAATACTGTTTGTAACAATTAATAGTGTTAAAACTAAGTAGTTGTTACAACCAATACTGTTTGTAACAATTAATAGTGTTAAAACTAAGTAGTTGTTACAACCAATAGTGTTAAAACTAAGTATTTGTTACAACCAATAGTGTTAAAGCTAAGTATTTGTTACAACCAATAGTGTTAAAGCTAAGTTGCTATGATAGAATAAAGAACCGGTACCATTCAAAATTTCCTGATGATTATTAACGCAGAAATATCAGAATATTTGCAAGCTTCAGAAGTGTGTTAATAATTAATTATATACATTCAACCAGATGGCGCTATTTATTTGTATTTTTATTCATAACAAACGTAGTATTGTTGCTCCAAAGTTTTTATTTGTATTATACAAAACTTCTAAAGATTTCAAAGCGTTTAGAACCGCACAGAACCAATTAAAGTAAATACAACCGTACCGGTATTATGCGAAGCTCGCCAGACACGTAAACATTTGGATGCTTGTCTTTTACCTAGTATTGTTTTGCAAATGCAAGTTTTATTTCATGTTTTATGTAGTGTTAATAGAAACGTTGTGCTTATTCAAAAGCACTAGAATCAAAATGAACAAATTATAAAATTATACTTCGTCTATTTTTAGATCGTTCCTGAAATTCCCTAAGGTGTAACGTAACGCCTTTACCCGTAGCTCCCCAGTATGTAATCCATTTGTTTTACTAGCTAGCATTACCTGATTATTTGAAACACCCACCCATACAAGAACATTCTAAACTGTTCTGTTGAGGTTCACAAGATGAGAATCAACCATCTAAATATTTATGTGTGGGACGAGCTTTGCGTGACGTCGGTATGACTGCACTTACTCTAATTAGTTCTGAGTTTATTAATACTATCCCGTATATCTCAAAGTAGAAAAAAAACTATTATGTTCCTCTTTCCCATAATTAGAAAATAACATATCATTATTCCGTTAAATGTTAAAAAAAATTTTTTGCAGGTTTCTCAATTTATTTAGTTAATGCCCTTGAACACAGTGTGTGAAAGAACATAAAGTTAAAATTCTCTGTCTTATGGTAATGTTAAGTAACGCAATATTATTCAAACAATAGTTTGTATTTATAGTATTTTGGCACTTGTGTATATAAAGTTAAAATCATAAGTAATATTCAACGTTAAACT